TTCCTTGTAATTAAAACGTTAGAATATATGTATATATATTCTAACGTAATAATATATATACATATATATATAATCTTAGCCATCAATTATTACTACTCAACAATATTGAAATCGTAAAGTAATAATATTGTTTATAATTGTGGTTACTGGTTATTTCGTTTGATTTATATTAGTATAATTTTTAGAATTACAATTATTTTTTATTAATATTCTGTAATAATTTTTAAAGACACTGTATAATTTCTGCGACCAACGTTGCAACTGTAGAATCATTTTAGCTTAATTTATTTTATTTAACATTAAACAATTTTCAGCTTGTTTTAAATTTATCTTTGGATTTGTGCGACAGTTAAATCAAGTATTACCATAACACTAGAGAAAACAAATGTTTTTTATAAAATTAAAAATGTTTTTTTTTTAAAATTATAAATATATTTTTTTAGTGTTTTTTTTAATTAAAAGAAAAAAGACCAACGAAGCATGTAAAGCAAAACATAACCTGGCCAAAATACATATCTTGCAATATTAGACTAGTATTTGGGAAAACGAAAACGGCCGTAACTTATACACTAATTAAGAAAACTGGTCACTTGTTCAACACAGCAGCTGACCGTCATCCTGCTCGCCTCCCAATGAATTGACCCGGGATTGAATCCCTGAGATATCTGGTCGATTCCGCACTCGGCTAGCACCGACGGCAGAGCTGACGTAAAATATCCTCAGCGAAAGACGAATCAAGAGGCCTTTTGTAGTCAGGCCAAGCGTGGGAGGTTTTCCTCCATGTAACGCAAATGCTTGTTAGTTCCACCTAAAAGTCCTCGAAAGCAAATTTCTCCCACTACTTAATCCAAGGTCGAGATAGCCCGGTTGGTAGGGCGTTGGACTCGTGTTTGTGAGAAAGGAAGTTCGGATCCGGCTAGCCGAAGAATCCCCGTGTATTAAACGGTGACTGGTGCACGTTAAATATGTTGGGGTCACAAAGTCCTCCAAGTTTCTATAACAAATCTGGAGGTACAGATTCAGGAGTTTTCTTGTCTTCCGGATTGGGTTCAAAAATACAAGTTTACAGAGTTGAACATTGGTAGTCGTAAACTCAAAATTGGGTCGGCTGTTCAACGACGGTTATAAAAAAAATAGGGTCTATGATCGCTTCTAACAGCAACACAATTCTTGCATCGTTGTTTCATAGTGTTTACAAGGGTCCTTATCAATCCCTGAGGCAACTTTGAACTTATCTATGTCTTTGAGCTACAATTTAGCGTCCCATAAGTGTTCGATGGGATTAAGGTCTGGGGACAGCGCAGGCTTCTTTAACCGCTAAATGTTCTACGATTGGAGGTATTCGTCAGATAGTTGGACCTTGCATGGACTGGCGTTATTGAGATAAAATTTGGTCAATATGCTTCGGGAAAGTCTCACATAGGAAACAAGGACCTCGTTCCAGTACAGCTGACCCATCTGAGCATTTCTATCGAAAACATGAAGTTCGGTACCCGGCTGTTATGATGCCTGTCCGGAGCATTTGTAAATTGCTTGCCTCTTGTTAACGTTATTTCAACACGTAAAAAGTAAAGAAATAATTGGTTTTCTTTTCCTATATTTTCTCCTTATTACAATTTTTATTTCTTTTTGTTCTTTCTAATAAAACGTCAAGTTTTTTCTCCCATGCTTTTTTTACATAATTTAGTTTTAAAAAATTCCTTTAAAAAATTAAAATAATAAAAAATAAGAAACGGCGAGCAAAATGAGTAAATAAAATATTTTGATTTTATAAACACCAACAAAGTAAAACTTCGGACAATTTTAGATTATTTGTGACTTTCGGTTAAATATTGGTCAGGCAGTGCCGGATTAGGCGTATGCAAGGCCCTAGGCCATTCAAATTTTTGGGGCCCATAGATTAAATTTTTTTTCTCGTATATTTTTTATTTATTCAAATATAATATAAAAGTATTTATGTATCTTTTCATTCAAGAAAGCATATTTAAAATAAAAATAAATTGAATTTTACTTTATTTTGTTAAATTAGAACTAAATCATTACATTTTATAATCATAACATATATATTTGAAATTGATTTTTTTTTAAATCATTGTTTTTCTTAATTTTTTAAATTTATTTAAAAAAAATTCATTTTAAGGGGGCCCCTAATCATTGGGGGTCCCAGGCCATGGCCTTGGGTAATCCGGCACTGGGGTCAGGAAAGGAAATATTGTTATTTTATAAAAAAAATCGGAAAGCTTGGGCATTCAACCTCGGAAAATCTACTTTGAAAAAGTTTCTGAGTGACGTAAGCACACGTATTTGGTTGCCATTAGAAATGAATGCAACAAGTAGATGTCTCGAAAGTTGGCGACTTTTTATAAAAAAAAAAAAAATTGAGCAGCGTATCAGGAAAATCAGTCCAGCTCATTCAAGCATTAAAAGTAAAGTAAAACATCTAAAGTGAAATTGTAACTATTTTAAAATTATGTGTTTTTAATTATTTATTCTAAGAACTTCAGAAACGTTTTTAAAAACTTAAGTGACAAAACTTTTAATGCACATAATGCCACTAGTAGCGCCATCTATGAGATTCATTATTAACTACGACTGCTCTGCATTCAAATTGAATGGAAAAGAAATTTGCATAATTATTTTGCTAACGTCATAAAATAAATTCCTTAAAGACAATCTCTCAAAGTTTCAAAATGTTTTCTTCTTTTGTAACAAAGCTGGTTTGGTTTTCCTAAAATCATGTGAAAACGGTCATGTGATGTTAATCCTTAATAATTAACGCAGGGAGGGAGAGGTGTATTGTTAACAGAGATCGGGTAAAACTCCGTTGCTTATTAAATAAGATTTCTTTTTAAATTCTGGTATAAAATTAGATTTGATTCAATGCTTTTCTGACATTTTCTCACATTTAATAAGTTTTTGTTCGAATATAGGATTTAAAAGTGTTGTTTCTCCATACAGTGGTAGGTAGGTAATTAAATTTCTTTTATGTCGCACTATAGCCGTATAATGCTAAATGCACTGAAATTTTTAAATATGTATGAGATGGTTATGACTGTGTAAAGCTAACCGTAGATGGCATTGGGGTTAATATTCGTCACACGCCTAATATTAAAAGAGCGCGTATTCTAATATTATTAGACTTGTAGTTTTTTCAATATAATGAGTTCTTTCAATTTAATTTTCGACTAAACAAATTAATTCGACAGACTTATAAAGCTTCTTATGCTACCCAAATTATTAAAAACGGCGCTACTTATAACAAATATAGCTAATTAAGGGATTACACACGAAACATGGTAGACATGCAGTATTTTATGCTGTGATACTAATTTTCTTAAATTTGTCTTAGGCTCATAACCTGCTAGAATTTATAAATGGCAGAGAACTCTTACGAATGGTAAAATTGCGTGTGTAAATTTAAACAGAAATCACAATAATAAAACTTGGGCCTGTTCACACATCACAATCTAAGCATAACATAAGTCAAGGGGGATACACGGAAGTTTTCTAAATTTTTTACGGTTTCTAGAAAGGTTGTACGTACAGAACCCGTTATCCGGAAATCAGAAAACCAAAAAACCGGAACGAAATTCAATAAATTTTCCGCCATTTTTTCTTTCCCTCATAAGATTTTAGGATTTTTCTTTCTTTTTTGAAAGATGTTTACCTTACCATCATTTTGGAAATAATCATCAGTGTATTACTTCATCGTTTTTTCTTCTTTTTAAGTTTATTTCCAAAAATTTTTTTTAGTTGGGTTTAACAATTAAAAAAACGGCTTTTTGTAGTGATTCAGAAAACCGGAAAAATCAGTTATCCGGAATAGCGTTGGTCCCGATCGTTCCGGATAATCGGTTCCCTACTGTAATTGTTTACATTCAGTCAACCATCCATATGAGAAAATTCCAATTCTTTTTCTTCCAAAACCTAGACTTCATAAGTGTTCCATGTAATTGATACGAACTGAAAGAAGTAGTTTAGTTAGTGCAGCGAGCAGTTGTGGTGCCTTCCAGTTTGTACTTATTTTCCTTCAGTCATTAAAGCTAATCTCATTTGTAAATAATACACTGGTGTTAGCTTTTGATGTGCAAATTCCCTTGAAGTCAAAAGCCTTTATCAAGCAATAATGGGCAGGGCCTGACTTAGCCTAATTGGGGCCCCGGGGCAAAACCTTCTTTGGGGGCCCCCTCTTCTTCACTACTTCAGTAAGAAGAATTAAACTTATGGAGGTATTTAAATTTTTCACCTCATTTTACATACATAACAAGAAAATTGACTAGAACCTAAAATAGCTATAAAGTCCCCCTCCTCTGGTCAGACGAAACATTGTTGTCCATTTTATTGATGTTCTGACAATTCTATATCCATCATGCCTAATGCAGTTTTCTAATTGTTAACTTTGTCATCTAGCTGTGAAGAATTCATATCGTTGCTGACAATTGGGCGGAATTCAGCTAAATTTTGGCTATTACGATGGCTCAATCAAGTCAATCAGAAGCTTGTATTTTTGTAAACATATCGCATTTTGGAATATGTGAAAATACAGGATTTTGATTGGCCAAATTCATCCATAGTAATTGCAAAAATTTAGCTGAATTCAGCACTAGAAAGACATGGATTTACGAAATATGGATTTTCTGTGTTCATACGATAGATTAATGAAGAAGCTAACATAAAACTGATTTATTGTACACTGTACTGATATTTTGTTTCAAAAAAGTTTTATTTAAATAAGCTATCAATTCGATTTGGGGGCCCCCTCTTATGCGAGGCCAGGGGCAACTGCCCCGTATACCCTTGCCTTTGTCAGGCTCTGATAATGGGGATAAAAATACTGAATTCCAATTTCACACTTTTCAAAACTACACCGCAGTTGCTAGGTGGCAGATTTCATCGGTGAAATTTGTTTCACCTGGGGACTGTTCCCTTTTAAGTTCAAAACTACTCCTTAAGTTTTGACTTAATGGGGCTTTTTTTTGCCTCCCTATATCATAAAAATATGAACTAGAAATGCTTTATTTCTTTTTATATATGATTATTATTTTAACATGCATACGACATAATACATTTTTAATACATAGAATCGTAAAAAAGTAGTTTTCAAATTTACAATAATGGTAAGGCATTTTCAACGCATTGTGACTAGTTCTTCAGCAGATGTGGGATGGATTGCTACACATTCATCGAATTGTTTTTTAGTTGCACCCATTTTAATTGCAACTGCAAAACCTTGAAGTATTTCATCACAACTTGTGCCAATCATGTGAAGGCCTATCACCTACACAGAAAAAAAACAAAAGAACGTGTGACAACAATTTTTTTACACCTAATACACAAACAAAGCCTTCACATTCACAAACAAAATAAGTTTTTCACCTTATCTATAGACAAGGGTCTAGTGGACTTGATCCTTGTTTATGAAGACAATTTGAACAAAAAAGTTATTTTTGACACTTAGTAAAATGCAGTATAAGAATGCAGATAGGCAGTATAAAGACTTCAAATACTAATAACCTATATTAAAAAATAATAAACAAATAAATACCTTTTCTTCTTTTCCCAAGCAAATTAACTTCATATGGCATTTGGTTTTTTCCTCGGTAATGGCAAAATACATAGGTGTAAAGACACTAGTGTAAATCTTTATATTTTCTTTTCCAAATTCCTTGATAGCTTCAACTACAATAAAATGGAAAAGACAATGATAATAATAATTATCAACATTTATGAAGTATCTGTTTTGTTATTCCGAAGCATATATATTAGTAATAAAATTACAGATCTCAAATAGTAATGCTACATGAGGTAATTAAAATTGCTAGGTACATTAATGTTTAGCATAGAAAAAAGAACTCTATTAATCAGAACTGCGAAACTAGAAGCCAAATGTTCAACTCCAATTCCTGAATTATGCGAGAACTCAAATCTCCATAAAATATTAATATTTTTACTAAAACAATATTTATTTCATTTTATATATGCACCATTACAGTTAAAAATATTGAAGTTGTATATAACCAATGTAGTAACAGTGATTATATTGCTATAGACTTATTGAAGAAACTCCAAAGTAAAAATTAACAGCCTTCGTTTTTATTAAAAAAAAAAAAAAAAAAAAAANAAAAAAAAAAAAAAAAAAAAAAAAAAAAAAAAAAAAAAAAAATAGTAAACAATCTCAAGTCAAACAACCTCACACTTGCTAGTCAGAACAAAACGGTCTCCTTTTAGGAAGAAGGTAATTCTGAAGAGAACAATCATGGCAGCGCCATCTTTGATTTAACACAAATACTTATAAACAAAATGATAAATTCTGATATTACAATTATTAAAAAAAAAGCTAGTTATTTATATCTCACATGCACACTTGCAAATTTATTAACATCATATTACAAAAAGATTCTTTAGAGAATATTTTAGGACTAAAAACTATTATATATGATTAAAAGAATTCAATTGCATAGCTTTTCAAATAAGCTAAATATATTTGGTTTTGGAATTTATGCACTTTTTCAATGGAAAAAGTACACAAAGTCGTATTACTATCTAGTCATTGTAAAAAATTCTTAATAGTCAACAGCCGCTAACTTTTCTCTCATCAAAAGCGTGTTGTTTTGCAATGATTCTCAGGCAATTGGTGTTGCTATGGCAATGATCAGACAGGTTTTTTTTGCCAAAAATATGTGCTAAGTTGACACTTTGTATGAAACAAAAAACCTCTTACCTCAGTTCTAAACTATCTATTAAATTATGCAGTTAATGCCCCAGGATGAATTCTTATTTAAAATAAAAACCGAATATGGAAGAAATAATTGTCTTTAAGAAATGCCTGACAAACCTAAACTAGATCGCTTTGCATCTATTTGCCGAACAGGTATAATTGCTTTGCTGTTCATCTGTATCATATTCGTATTTTTACTGAGCCGCCTGCCAAGTGACAAAGAAACGAAGCTATGGATTAATATTCCCAGTAGAACTTCCTAGGGCGAATATCGAATTATAGAGATATTGGGAAGCAAGAGGAATGGACAATTATAGTGAATTTTTAAAAAAAATTTAGGGCATTCAGGCCCTCAAAACTTAAAGAAATTTTTTATTACTTTTCTAAGAGTGTTAATTATTAAATTATCTTTAAACAAAAGTGCTTACTTTCGTTTTCATTTGAAACGGGGAGTCATGGGATTATTCACGATCTGACGTCACCCGTGCCCATCATGGCACGGGTGACTTTTGGGGCCAGCGAATTTTCGGGGAATTTATCTGTTTAATAAGTAAATAAATAATAATCATCAGNAAAAACCGAATATGGAAGAAATAATTGTCTTTTAGAAATGCCCGACAAACCTAAACTAGATCGCTTTGCATCTATTTGCCGAGCAGGTATGATTGCTTTGCTGTTCATCTGTATCATATTCGTATTTTTACTGAGGCCGCCTGTCCCTGTTGTGACAACGAAACGAAGCTATGGATTAATATTCCCTGTAGAACTTCCTAGGGCGAATATCGAATTATAGAGATATTGGGAAGCAAGAGGAATGGACAATTAAAGTGAATTTTAAAAAAAAAAAATTTAGGGCATTCAGAAGCCCTCAAAACTTAAAAGAAATTTTTATTACTTTTCTAAGAGTGCTAATTATTAAGTTATCTCCTTAATAATTAGCACTCTTAGAAAACAAAAGTGCTTACTTTCGTTTTCATTTGAAACGGGGAGTCACGGGATTATTCACGATCTGACGTCACCCGCGCCCATCATTTGGGCACGGGTGACTTTTGGGGCCAGCGAATTTTCGGGGAATTTATCTGTTTAATAAGTAAATAAATAAACATCTGGAGGAAGAAAAAAAAAAAAAAAAAAAAAAAAAAAAAAAAAAAAAAAAAAACAGAATTTCAGATTCAGGCAAGAATCTGCAATAAGATTGAAAATAAAATTAAAAAAAAAAACTAAATAATAATAATAAGAGACGCTGAAGTTCATTAAATGATTATAAACACGTTTTGAAAATTTCCTGAAAACAAAATAAAATGAAAAGATCGAACATTGAAGTTGCTCTAAAATTGAAATATTGATTACAAAGTAAGTAAATCATAAATATATAAATCATTTTTAAGATAGATTATTCTTACACAGTAACAAACAAAATATAAATCAGATACAATCAACATCTGAACATAGATTACAAACGTTAAAATGCATAAATTCAAATTTCAGAAGTGAAATATTAGTAATCATTATCAAAATTATTTCAAAACAAAATCTTTTTAAAATTGCATATCACGAGCAAAATGCGTACGGAAAAAAAAAAGAATAATTTCTATTCATTATGAATAACTTCTATTCAAAAAGAAAGAAAAATCTAAGAAAATTAGTTGCAATAATAAAATGAAATGTCATACCTTCAGTGAGACCGACAGTAGCAGCAGGAGGATGACTAAATACAACAGATGGAATGTTTGCATAATTTAAATGGCTGTCGGCGTCATCGGCAAATAACCGAATAGCTAATTTTCTTCCAGCAGCAATGGCAACTGTAACAATTAAAATAGTTTTCTTTTATATAAATAGTAAAATTTATTTGATTACAATTACAGTAGAACATTAATTATCCAAAAGTGGGAGAGAATTTGAACCTACTGTGGCAAATCAAGCTTTAGCCCTGAATCAAGCCACAAATTAGTTTAATCCCCACAAAAGGGAAGTTTCAAAATGCCTCTTCCCTAACTGACAGAAAAATCAATTGTATTAGAAATTAAACTGATGGAATGAACACGTGGAATGGATTATCTGATTAATATAATGGAAAATAATAAGAAATTAATTGAAACTTAATGTTTATTTGAGTAAGTGTTTCGTGCAGTTAGCATGTATTTATGCAGTAAAAAAACTATATAAAAGAACAATTTCGAAAATTCACGGTCATATATTTTGCTTTTTTTTTTTTATATTTAGACTAGCTATATTTGGCACCTTTATCAAGTAATTTGTGAAAAAAGAAAGAAAAAGAAACTGATTGTTTTTTGATCAAACATTAGTTTTTTGTTGTTGTTGCTAGAAAGCAATAATTGGTAGAAAATTTCGAAAAACATTTTAGGTTTAACATTTTATGTTAATCACTAATTTACTCAAACTTTAGTATACGTGATTACCTGTAATTATAAATTTTGATTACTTATAATCATGATTACATGTAATTGTTTCTTTTTGTGATAACAAGGAATATATGTAGTTAGGGATCATGATTACTTGTAATCGTAATTGCGACTAAAAGTAATAGATTACATAGTAGTAATTATCTGAAATCATTTACAGTTGTTATCGATTACTGTAATTGAGCACTGGTTTGAGAAATGGAATCAAATACTATTTATATTTTTTAAACGGCATTTCAAGTTCTGTCCACTTTCTTAAACACGCATTTCGAAGCATGTCCATTTTCATAAATACACATTTTGTTCTTCGTTCATTTTCGTAAATACGCATATTGAGCTTTGTCCATTTTCGTAAACACGCATTTCGAGACATGTCTATTTTCATAAATACACATTTTGTTCTTTGTTTATTTTTGTAAATACGCATTTCGAGCTTTGTCCATTTTCGTACACGCGCATTTTGAGCTATGTGATGTTCATTTTTTTTTTAAAAAAAAAAAGTATTTCGTGCTATAACCACAGATTTAAAATCTCACCGACGAGATGTGTTATTTCTTATCAAGATGAAAAGTTCCAATGCGGAGTGGAAAAACCAATTGGTCAAAAAAAAAAAAGAAAAAACTTTCTTCATAATCGACTTTGGTTAACAAAGATATTCTGAGGGGCTCATCACAGGTCCGCGTAGAAAAAGTAGTAAAAAAAGTGACAACCATTTTTTAAGAAGTGATAAATAGTGACTTAATTATTTAGAAACATAATGAATACTTAATGAATATTACATAATGAATATTTTCTAATTTTTCCTAACTAAAATAAACTAAATGTTTAACTTTTTAGCTACTACAGCCCAGTTAAAAGTATTATATTAAAATAACAGTGAAAGTATGCAACAAAAATATTGTTGCCACTGTTTAACGTCAATGCATGGGCAGTCATTTGTTATTGTTTTATTTTAAATAAATTTCTATTAGACAGGACTTTTTTCAAGAGTATAAAAACGACGTGTTTTTAAACGCAATGTGGGGAGATGAAGAAACGTTAATAATTGTTATTATTTTTCAAAAAACAAACAAAAAAAGCAGAAAACTACCTATAGTTTTACAATGGAATTGTCACGAAACGAGTGCAGCAAAAAGTGATTACTAAATTACGAAATAGTATCGTATTAAAGTGTAAATTTGCCTGAAAAACGATAAATAACGGCTAGAAAAATGACGTGTAATAAAAGATGAATCGTCGCATTAGATCAGGGCTGAAGAGAATAGAAGGGCTGGTTCACTCCTTTGAAGAAACTCTCGCCGCACCAATCATCCGATTTTCTCTAGTGACGTCACTTTGGCGCAAAGCTCGCACTTTTACTTCAAGAACAGAG